GACCCTTTAATACAGTTCCTCATGTTGTGGTGATACCCCCTCCCCCCCACCAAACATAAAATTATTTTCATTGCTACTTCATAACTGTAATTTAGCTACTGTTAAGAATCCGGTGACCCCTGTGAAAGGGGCATTCGACCTCCAAAGGGGTCGTCACCCACAGGTTGAGAACCGCCGCGCTATAGGAAACTTTGGATTTCTTTATGAGGTAGTTTTATTACCATTTCATTTTCAGGGAAATTTTCTGGTTATTTTTGGTTAGTTGCTGGAGGCATCTTATTCTGCTCCTTTAGGGGACTTAATATTGTTTGTTGTCTTCATGGCATGAAGGTGTTATTATATTTATTTAATGTATGTTTGTTGCCTGTGTCCTAATTTTTAGTTTTGTTTTCCTTTGATGTACCTGGGCTGGCTGACCACTAGCCTGCCACACTGGGGCACCGGAGGTTGGTGTGTGGGCATCAGTTTCTGTTCATCAGTCATTCAAGGCGGCTAAGTTGGGCAGGTGTTGGCCACCATCTGTCATTGGTCGTGGGGTGCAGGAGCAGGCAGTAACACCCTGGGGTGGCCACAGACTCATGCTGGATTGGAGGAAGGGGGTTGAGTGGTGTGCTGGTTTGTGTTCCTTGCCTGGCAAGAAGAAAGGGAAGGGAGCATCTCATGGTGTACCTGAGGTCCTGTTACCCCTGCCTCTTTCCAGGTAAGGCAGAGGGTAAGGAGTGCTGAAAAGCATGCATGTGGTTTTGTACGACCACCTCCCTTAGGGCAGGCACAGGTGCACTTGTGCAGTCGTTTCACTTGCCTGACTCATGGAGATACAGGTGGCAGGTGGAAGTGTACATAGTAACATTGAGTGGTGAGGAGGGAATGTGCTTGCTATGTGATCTCCAGTTAGGCATGATGGCCTGGGTTTAAGATCCTCTGCTGGTTCTGATCAAGTGGGATGGGTCAGTGTGAGTGTGCCAGGTTAGCTAGCAAATATGAGTTCCGGGACCCTTGTCATCTGCTGTAGACAGCAGTCAAGACTGGCCTCTGACCTGATGTGCAAAAGGAGAAGGGACCCTAGGGTCTGGTTGGATGAGAGAACTTCCTCCATGTGCACTTGACTTATCTCAGAGATGAAGGACTGCCACGCATGGGTGAATCTAGCACTAGATTCAGGCTCGCTCACTTCACTGTGGATACCCCAACCCAAAAAAGCCAAACCCACTGCCCCTGAATCAGTTCCGAGTCACAGTGACCCTCGGTTTCCAAGCCTGTAGATCTTTACAGGAGCAGACAGCTTCATCTTTTCACATGGCTGCACTGTGACGGGCTTGAACTGCCAACCTTGCAATTAGCTGAATGCTTACCCAGTGCCAGCAGGGCTCCTTCTGGCTCCACTTTGTATGCTTTCCTTCCTTAACACGATCCCCTTTCCTTGCTTCTTTCTGGGAGCACCTATACAGTTTCTCTGTTGTGGGAAGGCTATGAAGTTGCCTCCCGGTGTTCCTTTCCTGGGGTTGTACTGCCTTTGTCTGAAGATGACTATGCTGAGCCAGGAAGGATGGCTGAGCCCCCTTTTCCATGTTACTCCTTGGTCTCTGTGTGTTCAGCTTGATTCTTTACCCTTCCTGAGTGTTGTTCATGGTTTCAGGATTGTGATTTGCAACATTTTCACTTGGTGTATTAGGTTGAGTTGACTAGAGAAACAAATTCTATGGCATATATGCATGAGAGAACTTTATATCCAAAAGTAATTGTATATTAAGAAAACATCCCAACCCAGTCCAGGTCAAGTCTATAAGTCTGATATTAGCCCATAAGTCTGGTACTAGTCCATAAATCCCTCTTCAGACTCATGTTGCACATACAATGATGCAAAATGCAGGAAGACCACAGGCCAGTGGGTGCAAAGTCTTGTGGATCCAGTGGCAGTGGGAGCATCTCCACGGCTCTCGCAAATCTCAGCACATAGCTTGGCATGACTTGTCGACAGGAGGGTGAAAGTAGACATGGGGTGGGGTTGGGGGTGACTGGCCTCCAGTGAGCCATTTATCTCAGTCACCCTCCAGTCAAACCGCAACCCGATTGACAGGCTAACCTCCACCCACAAGTTCCTACAGGAGCCATGTTGGCACACAAAAAAACTGTCATACTTGGTATTTCAAGTCTTTGCTGTAAGTGAACAATATGATATGTTTCACTAATCCACCATCCTGGCTTCTCCCTCCCACCTGTTCTTTTTTGTTTTTGTTTTTAATCATTTTATTGGGTGCTCTTACAGGTATTATACTAATCCATAATTCAATTGGATTAAGCATGATTATACAATTACTGCTACCATCATTTTTCAGAATATTTTCTTTCTTGAACTCTTTGGTATGAGCTCCCCTTTATCCCCCACCCCACCCTTTTCCCCAAGAACCCTGATTATTATATATTATTATATTATTATTATTTGGCATATCTTCCGCTATCCATTGTATATATTCACCTACAATTCTGTTATTCGTTCCCCTCAGTGAGGTTATACAGTAATCGCTATGGATTTCCTCTTCCCTCCCCACCCCCTCTTTCCTGTACCCTCAGGGAATCATTGTTCCCATTACTATTTCTGAAGGGTTTTCTTTCCATAAATCTTTTGAACTTTATGTGTCTATATTATAGGAAGAACTTCAAACAGCTAAGAAGTTTCTATATTATGAAATGGGCTATAAATCTCGATCAGAACAACTAACAGATCGCTCTGAAATTAACCTATTGCCTTCAGACATCGACAGGTACTTGCAATATGTTTTAGTGTCCCCCCCCCCCCCCCCCACCGCCCCACTTATGCTCCTATATAAGTATGTTTTCCTATTAATCAATGTTGTATTCCAGGTACAAGAAGCGATTTCATAAATTTGATGCAGATCAAAAAGGCTTTATTACCATAGTTGATGTGCAGCGTGTTTTAGAGGTAATAATTGTTATTATTATTTGTTGTTTAATATTAGTCTTAAATATCAGAATAGTGTCAAGATTATATTACATACTTTTCCTCACTTAATACTTTCCTTAAGTATTGTTTTTATTTTCAAAGGTTGATAAAAGAATATGTTTAATTTTTAATCAGTGATCATGGTTCTCCTTTGCTTTCCATTAGAGTATACATGTTCAAATGGATGAAAATACACTACATGAAATTCTGAATGAAGTAGATTTGAATAAAAATGGACAAGTTGAACTCAATGAATTCTTGCAGGTGAGTTGTGATAAGCACACACATACCACACTTGTTTCCTGTTGTCTTTTGGTTGTCATTACAATAAATGGACATTCAAGTGCCATTTCTTAAATTCGCACATTTGTCACTTCATTCAGAGAAAAGAAGGCTTTAAGCCAGCAAAGGTCAGTATGTCTGTACTCAGGGATAATGCTCTACTTCCTATGTTTTCCCTTTTTCCCCCTTTGCTTTTTATAAGAAACATTCCATTTTGTTGGACAATTTAGATTAAGCTTAAGCTAATTATGGTCGAAAAGGCTAAATTAGAAGCATGGTTTTAAAAGAAATATACCATAGACTACCACTGTTGGCAATTTTCTACCCAATTTCAAAAGAGGCAGCATAATATTTCTAGTGGGGAAGGTAATCTTTTTGTTGTAGATTTATTTGAGAATCTAATTATTAGATTCTTTCATTGTAAACAACTTTAAAAGCCAAAGAAAGTATAGTGTAGCATTGGGTTTTCTACTGCTGTCTAGTCGATTCCAACTCACAGTGGTCCTACAGGACAGGGTGAAACTGTTCCAAAACATTTCAGATATTGGACGTATAACACATGCCACCACCAGGGCTCCTTATTCTGGGGTTGCAACCCAAGCCAACCCAACCCAACTCAACCCAACCCAACCCACTGCCATCAGGTCAGTTCCAACTCAGAGCAACCCACAAAGGCTTCCCATGGATGTTAACCGTTTAGGAGCAGGTGGCTGCCTCTTGTACTGAGAGCAAATTTAGTGGGTTTGAACTGCCCAGCTTTCAGTTAGCAGTCTAATGCATACCCAACAGCACTGCGGTTGAGACTATAATTTAGACATTTTTATTTCCAGGTTTCACCTTATTCAAAGATCAATTTAAAACTCTTTGTACTATTTAATTTCAAATTGTAAGTGATCCCTAATTCTTTTTAAAATGTCCTTAAAAGCAAGAAAACACACACCATGCATGACTCTGGTCAAAGGAAAGATGCACTGGTTACCACGTAGCCCGGTGTTTTTCAGTAGTGCCTCTTGGGCAGGTATTTCAAATGAGTGCCAGTTTGCTTGCCCATGGCAATGATGAATGCTGAACATGCAATAAATTAATGTTGGGGATTTTGGTCAATGTCAGCCCTCTCTTCACTGTGTCAAGTTAAACAAACAAGATCAAGGCGAAGGAAATGGTAATTGTCTCTCTGGAGATGAGCTGCGGATGAGGGCATCGTTGAATCTAACAGCAGAACATTTCCACAGGTTGTGGCCAGCATTACAAAAAGAATGTTTGGTTCTTGAGCTTGCTGTTTAACTAAATGCACATTTTATTTATTTATTTTTTCCCATCCCCCTAAATGCACATTTTAAATTCAGTTTTAAATTCAAGCAAGAGAATTAGAAATCCTATAATACGTGTGTGTGTCTAGTTTTCTGGAGAATATTTTATTGTTTGTCTTGGGAATTTAGAAAACTTTCCTTCAGCGAAATGGCTGTGGTTCATTTCAGGTGTGTTAGAAATAAACAAGGTCTTTAGTGTTGAAAGACTTGGGGTTTTAGAAACAGCGAGAATACAATTGTGTAACTGAGTATAGTGAGGAGTGTATAGTAAGGCTTCTAAATGCAGGCCAGATGAGGCTTTTGCTCAGGTAGAACTCCACGGCCCTGGAAGCCCACAGCAGTCAGTCTTCTCTGTCCTATATGGCTGCCGAGTCGGAACTTATGTAATAGCAGTGAGAGAACCATGTGGCTGGGTTTTGAGTGTTGTTTGCCATCGAGGCAGTTCTATCCCATAGTGATCCTATGAACAACAAAGCACTGCCCGATCCGGCGCCGTCCTTACATTTTTCCCTGTGCCTGAGCCCATTGCTACAGCTTGTGTAGGTCTGGTAGACTACAGAAACAAATGTATAGACACGGGCATGTGTAGAAGCAAGAGCTTTATATAAAAGAGTAATTGTATACTAAGAAAACATCCCAGCCTAGTCCAGATCAAGTCCAATATTAGCCCATATGTCCGATACCAATCTATAAACTCCTCTTCTGACTCATGAAACACATGCAATGATGCCACTTAAAGGACAATCACAGGCCAGTGGGTGGAATGCCTTGTGGATCCAGTAGCATTGGAAGCATCTCAGTGCTGGCAGGGGTCTCCATGTGGCTCTTTCAGGTCCAGGGCTCTAGCAGAGTTTGAGCCGCAGGTCTTGTCCACAGGAATGTCTTGCAGGGAGTAAGCATGTATCCCACCTCCAGTGAGCTATTGATTGCCTTAGTGCCTCCAAATGAGGTCATCAAGCTGCGACCTGATTGATAAGCTAAACCCCACCCCTTCATTCTTAAGTCTCAGATTGACAACAGGCTATGTAACTACCACACAGCCATTGTGTCAGTCCATCTCCTCTTTTTGGCTGTTGTTCCTCCACTTTACCAAGCCTGATATCCTTCTTCAGGGACTTGTCTCTCCTGATGGCTTGTCCAAAGTACATAAGACGGCTCACCATCCTTGTCTCTAAGTTATTTGTTTTTAAGTCTAATAGAGTTATACACATAGAAAATAATAAGCTAGTTGCAGGTTTTTGTACTTGTTTATAATTGGGTTTTCTTTGCCCATTCTATCCCTGTTCTTACCAAGTAAAATGCAAAGAATGTAATTTTTAACTTAAAATATGTTGTCTGTATTTCTTATGTATAGATTCACACCCAAAGCTATTTTTTTGATTTCCGGATAATTTTTATGTTAACGAAAACTGAGATTTTAGAGGTTGGGACATCACATACTGTTTATAACAAAAGAAAAAAAAGCTCAAGTTCTCTAAATTCAGTTAGTCTTGATCAACTTTGAAGGTCATCATGGCACCCGAGGTAAAAGAGTAAAATAAAGGCTGCTATCTTTAGTTGTAATTGGGTTAAACATTGGGCTGCTACCCACGAGGTCCACAGTTTGAAACCACTACCAGCTCCTGGGGAGAAAGAGGAGGCTTTCTACTCCTCTCAAGATTTACAATCTGGGAAACCCAGAAGGACATTTCTACCTTGGCCTGTAGGGTCTCTGTAAGTTGACTTTCATTTCAGTGGCAGTGAGTTTGTTGGTGGATTTTTAAAATTGTTCTTTAGATATCAGCATTGCTTCTCATGAGATCCTCTTTTGTTAGATGTTAAGTATGTTTTCATTGGGAGGGGTAATAAAATAGTTTCCTTTTCTTAAGACTTAAGAGCTTATGCTTGTCTGTTAAACATCTTTTAGAATATAGATTTGGTTTTTCAGAATTCCTCATGGAAGAATTCCACAGATATCTCATAGCTGCAGAACATGTACTTTAAAGGTGGGCTTTCTTGGCACTTCTGCAGAAAGAGCCCATCTCTGATCAGCAGTAGCTTGTGAAACCGCTTCTAATCAGGTCATGAGGTTCTGATTTGGCCCTTTGGCAAATACCTCTAACTCTGTCTCAGAGCCATTTTTAAATGTATCTCTTTGAACTGAAAACTCTAACCCTTAAGCATATTTTGAAAATGTTTTATGTACACTCTTCTGATCGTTAAATCAGTTATTTCCCAATAAATAAATACATTTTAAAAGATTGCCGGAAAAGAAAAACAAATCAAAGCAAAAAACCACATGCATCAGCTTGGAAAGGACAATTAGAAAAAAAATTCCCCACGCTCATACTTGCAGAGTGCCTTCCAGATTAAAGGCCTTGGCCCGTTGACTGCATGTAATTTTAAAACGAATTCAGATTTTATCCATTGGATAAAAATGAATGAACTAAAATCTGGGCTGTGGAGTGCTTTTAATTCTTAAGGTAGATCTCTGGGTCCATTTTCAAGAACTTTAATGTAAATTACTTTAAAAAGTCTTAAAGGAATTTGTGGGTTTAGGATATTTGAAGTTGTCAAGTTACAGTAATATATATTCAAAAAGAGGGGTAGATAAATATCGGTCATGATTCGTCTCCACTCAATCCCAGAGATATGCTTTTTTAAGATTTTAAAATGAAATGAAAGATCCAATATTTGAACGAAAGCCAAAACCGGATCCCTAGATTTGCTTTTTAAAGGCCTGACTTGCTAGATATGTGTCCTTGGGTTTTTGTTATGCAGCAATGGTGAGAGTCCCTCCTCCCCCTTCTCCTCTCCCCACTTGGAACCATTCAGACCTGTAGTCTTCCTATTAGAGCTCAAGCCCCTGCCCTGGTTTTTGACGGAGCACCAAGGACCTCCAGCTACTGCAGTGGTGACCATTAAAGTGCCCTTCCCGCCCCCCACAAAGAGCATAAGCAATCCTGCCTTGCAACTCATTTGCCTGTTTTCTCTTTAAGCTGATGAGTGCAGTTCAGAAAGGAAGCGTGTCTGGAAGCCGATTGGCTATTCTCATGAAGACGGCGGAAGAGAACCTGGACGGCCGAGCCCTGATCCCTGTGGACCGTAGTTGTGGAGGCTTGTGAGTCTGAGCCCTGGGCCTCAGCCAGGGTATCACCACGCAACAAGCACAGATGACCGAACACCACGCCACGAGTGGCCCTGGATAGCTGCCTTTTTTTTTTTTTTTTAAACACTGGGGATCATTCCAAAGCTTTAGAACGCTGGTGTACACCCTTTATTTGTATTTGCCATCCGATCTATTTTTTTTTAAAGTGCATCTTTAAAATTTTGTTTTCCCTCACTGCACACTGATTTCATATTTTGCATCCATCTTGTGACCCCTTAGACTGGGCATACTTAATCACTTGCTCTGAATCTGGTCTAGAACCAGGTTGTTTGGGCAGACATTGGAAGCAGAAGGCGGGATGATTTTATTCACAAATCTCTGGACGTCAAGCTTTGTAGGTAGTACCTGTTCTTAACAGAAGTGGAGTGGTGAGTGGTCCCGATTGAAATGATAATGTTTCTGAAGAGCCCTTGGCCCCTTCTCCTGCCAGCTCATCTACTTTCCTCATCAAAACGATGTTGCACAATTTTATATCTAGAGTGTGACTCGCTCAACTGGGAAAGGAAGAAAAAGTTTAGCTCTGGCTGCAGGAGCAGGTCACGAAGAGAATTCTGAAAGCTTCCAGAACCACACACAGATGACAAGGACAGCACTGCTGGGGGTTACGATGATCATTCCATCTCAGCAGTCCACCCGCTTCTCCAAGCCACTTCTGATTTTCTTAGGCTGTTATTTTTTGCCAGGAGCATCCTTGCTTTTAACAAGCAGCCTCCCAGCCGGCAGGTTGGATGTGATGGCTTGAAACTGTTTCTCCAATCTTGATAGTACGGGAAGTTTAAGGGTTAAGAAAAGGGGCTTATATATCTACCTATATGATGGTACCATTTCAATCCCCAAATTCAGGCTTCAGGACACATGATTATTGCCAAACATAGAGTATTTTGGTCAATTTATTGCTTCATGTTTTAGGACTCTGCCCCCTCCCTCCTCGCCAAAAAAAATACACCATAAGAAAGGATATAAAAATGTTTTAGTTGGTTTTATTTGTAATTTTCTACCAAAAGGCACAACACTACATTATTCAAGGTCATAGTGGTTGCTTAAAGTTTTTTTCCCTCTACCCTGAATGGAAAACCTTAATCAACTACAAATAGAAATAAAACAACCCAACATACAGATACATATTCTCTCTCTTTCACTGTGTTTCTGTCCCTGTCTCTCTCTCTCTCTCTCCCTCTCTCTCTCACACACATACAGCAATTTGCATTGAATTTCATAAGTAGTAAATTGAAGTTAAAAGCCCAGTTTGGGAAGTTTTGCTACATTTTGGAGGCATTTTAACTACAGTCATGAATATTCATTGTGCTTCCTCTTGTGAAGTTACCTTCCACATGTGTGTTCTTCAGATTAGGTTCTGTATACCACAGGAAATGTACCCCTTCATTTCATATTCTCATTGCTCCAGGTCTCGTTTTTTCAATGAGTACATATACAACACTTTTGTGCTGTTATATGTTGCAGACTATCTGTGTGCCTCACTCGAGTGGGCAATGAACCTGTTACATTGTAAACCCTGGAAGTTCACCTAGCTGAGCCCGTACCCTCATCCCTCGGGGAAACAACACAGTGAGTGAGTGGAGACACCGTCTTAACTCACGGTGCTTTTCTGTGAATGTTAGATAGCTGCCACGAGCAAGCGATGCTCCCAGGTGTCACTGTGAAGTGTTTCTTTCAAGGTGTGAATTTTTCACACTGGCCTTTAAAAAAAATAATACAATAAATGGAATTATTGTATTATATTGTATTGAATGAATGTAAGCGTGGTTTTGCAAGTTAGTGCTTTTCTATCAATATAATAAATGGCACCGTTTGGGATGCAGGTGGAAGAGCTGCTTACTAAAACATCCCAGAGGCTGTACCATAATCTTGTATATCTGTTCTCTCTCTCTCTCTTTCTCTCTCTCCTTCTAGTTAGATCAAGATAATGATGACTTGTGTCCTCTCTGGATCCATTCCAGTAGGGACGGCTCTTAGAGAACAAGCCAGCCCCCGGCAGATCTGTGTTTGTAAAACACGCCTTGCTGCTGCATGCTGTGCTGAGTGAAGCTCCTTTAAGGGCAAAGAAAAGCACATTTGTCTTCTTTTATGCATATCTGTGTTGGCCTAAAATCTGCTTAATTCTAGAGCATCTGGTCCTCCACCAATCCCAGAGTCTTGTCTTGGAAGTGAACTGGTTCCAAGGCTTTCCTGTGAATAAAGCATCCCGGCATATTAGTGTACGCTCCTAATTAACCCTTTACCACATCTTTACCTGATTTCAGAGGGAGCGAAAAGAAGTTGGAGAGGAATTCTATTCAAAACCTATTTGAAGCATAAAATGATGATTCCTCCGCCCCATTCATAGAAATGTGGTATGGGATGCAAGTGGGGTGTTTCTGGGATAGTCTTTTGACATGAAGTGATTTATTTCAAGGTCTGTTAGGGGATTCAGGTGAAGGAACTCCGATCTGTGGGAGACCGTTGGATACTCCTTTAAACAGCCTGCACCAGAGTCCTAATAATGGTGATGCTGCTGGATTATTTGTTAAGCCAGGATTGTCCGTCTCATATCCCTCATGCTGTTTGTAATAGTCTCCCTGGCAATCAGTTTATATGGAGGGTAACTTTAAGATTTCTACTGTGAATTGCATGCTCCCTGTTCTGCTTGAGTTTCTGGCTTTGTTTCTGTCTGTTTTACAAGAAGTAGCTTCCTTTTTTGTACAACAACATTTTTTCCTGACTTTACTAAATATCCTGCAAGGGTGACGATTGACTTTCCCCCCCCTCTTTCTTATGTATTTGTAACAAATTTTGGCATGTGAATGTAATAAATTGAAGTCCATGAAGCTATAACGTGCACTATTTTGCATTGCACCAGTCCTTTTTAAGGAATTATAAAAGCCCAACTGTGTTTGTAAAGAAAATCTAACGTAAGCCCAATACTGAGGCTTATGAAAAACACTGCATGTTTTCCTACATGGCACCTTTCTGTTTTGGTGTTGGGTTATTCTATATTGGCCCGTTAAATGCAAGGTTTGAGACTGGGCTGTCATTTTTATAACTCTTGGTGTTTTATTGCCATTATTTATTACTTTTGATATATAGAATGAGCTGCATGCATTTATAGAGCAATAAGCGGATGTATTTGATGTGCCTTGTTTTTAACGGAATAAGAACTGAAAGCATGAATCAATAAAGCTGATTAAAATGGTCCATTTGCTGGCATGTTGATGTTACCTGCAGTCAAAGAAATAACTCTGATTAGTGTTGAAGTTTTTTAGAAAGTTTGAAAATATTTTAACAAACTCTAAGCTTAATGGCACTTACATGTTAATTCTTTTAGCTTGGAGTTTTCTTATTTTGAACTCCAAAGTGGAATCTCTGCATAGACAGAGATGTAATTTTCTGAGACTGCCAGAATTATTTGTATTAATTTGTTGCTAGAGCCTTTAGGGCATGACTTCTGTATTTGTGCAATCCTATTCTAAAATTGCATTTGTCCTATTACAACTCTGTTGAATCCCCCTCCTCTTTTTTTTTGTCAACCACAGCCTTTCAGCCTAAGCGTTCCCAGGCATACTGATGAATTTTATCATAACTAAAATCAATAGAAATGAATGGGAAAGATTACATAATCCATTTTGATCATCTTACATGTCAAGTTAGTGCAGGGTTGCCAAGTGTTGATAAATGCTCTGACAGAAAAAATGCTATATATTTTCATTGTCAGTAAATCAGTAAAGCTGTTATCAGTTTTAACACAAATTTTATAATGCCCATGCTATTTTATAGGTTTTAATTCACACACACAGAGGGAGCAGATGCTCTGGTTGCGGTTTAGCCCGCCTGGCTGCACGTGCTTAAAGACACGGGAGCTTCTGAAGGTGCGTGGAAATGGGTCAGCATGCCCCGACGTGAGGGCTCCTAGACACGTTTCCAGCAACGAACCTGGAAAAATGACAAACAGCCCAAAGCAGCTTTCAGTGATCTAGCTTACCAAATTTTATAGCACTTTAAACATTTGTCGACATAAAATTTGTGAAAATGCATTGCCCCCAGATTTTGAAATGCACTAAATGCCTACTAACCGAAGGAAGGGCAGTATGATGGTAACACCCATGTTTTGCGATCTGTGTCAACGGGCGCGGCATTATCACTGGTGTCGGATTTCACCTGAGGACGTTTGACGTCTGAAGGAAGGAAACAACAGAAGTTCCACATTGATGCGACAGCCTCCTAATGAGAGAATTTCTATATAGGGGGGCGGAGATGATGAGCCTTTTGTGCCTGTACTTTATATCTTAGGCCTCTAATTAGCTACCTACTTGTGAAATAAACGCTCATATTATGATGGATGTGAGGAGGGATGATTCCAAAGATCGTCTTGTGGGTCCTGACTGGAAGAAGGTGTGGGGTGGGGGTGGAGGAGGGGGAGCATTTTTTTGTCTTTCCAGAATCAATCAACGTCCTTTGTGAAATCCTTAGCCTGGAAAAGCAAGGTTCAATTGATCTAAGTAAAATACCCTTTAGCGCAAGTATTATTAGAGCCATCTTCATCCTCCACATTTGGCAAGAACTGCATTGCCAACAAACTTTGCTCTGGGTTCCCAGCTGGAGTTTCCTGCTTTTCCATTGGGGGTTGCTTGCATGTAGGTGGCAAAGGAAGGTCAAGGTATCTTCCCTCCAGCTGAAGGCAATATGAAGCTGTGTTGCAGTGACCGACAGGAGGGATGAGAAGCTCGCTACCTGCCTGCCCTGGTGAGCGTGGCTTGTCCACGACCTTCGGAGCTCACCAGGCCCCGGCGGAGTGCCTGAAGCCCAGTCCTTGCGCACCCCTCTTGGGGGTAGGGCAGCCCCCATGGAGGCCTGCTCCATCTCCCTTCATCCTTGGCTGTTCTGCTCCCTCTCCTTTAGGTGGGCAGGTCAGGCCGTGGAGAAGTGTCTGACAAAGGAAGGAAGAGTTAAGGGGCACTTAGATTGAGGCTGCTTTTTCTTGGTCGTAGGATTTCTTGATTTGTTTCAACCTGGGAGTATGAAACTCGGACCAATGATTTTCCTGACTTTGTTTCTTAAATCCAGTTCAGACAGACCTGATTTTGCGTTAAAAGCTCCCTTTTTCTATCGGTTGGCAAATTTTCAAGGCCAGCAGCTCCACCACCATCACCGGTTTCTTCTGACCCTCCTTTAAGCTGTCTGAAGGTCGCCTCTGGGTGGCCACCTCCCTCCAAAGGTCTTGGGTATAGTTGCTTCGCTGCCCCTTTGAAACTTGTGGTTTGTTGCAATTTTTCTCCCCTCTGCTTAAACAAACATCAACTGTTTTTGTTTTTCGTCCCCATCATTAATTGATTTGCAGTTCATTTTTTATGCATACAGAGTTTTTCTTATCCAGGTGAAGAAGCTGTAAATCTTAGATCCATTGAAATGACAGTGAAAAATATTTCATTTCATCCCATGAATCATTTGCCATCCTTATTGCAGAAAAATGGCAAAATTATGGTGTACCATGTTTTCATAAATCCCCCACCCCCCACCCCACCCTTGCTTTAATTCCTTTCATTATTTGCTTGGAAAGATTGTAAGAGTCAGAATTCAAACGTTTGGGGTAAACAATTATGATTTTACAGCAGGCTCAGTAGAATCTCATCGCACATGAGTTCCTCTGGCACTATGAAGAATTCATGTACAAAATACATCATCTATTTTATGACTGAAAAA